TGAAAGTGTACAATTCACATCAGGATGCATGCATGAATAGAACAAAAAAGAAGGGAAGGGAGAAGGGGTGGGACATGGCTGGGCGAGAAAGACTGGATCGTCCTTGTTGTCACCTCCTAGCGGCGGCATGGCCTGAGCTCCATGTTCGCTTCCTCTGCCTTATCGTTATCCGTTGTTGCCGTCAAGCGAGGTCGTGGATGCATCACTTGAGAAAGGCCATGGTTGCTGGCGTGCCTCGCGAAGAGGGCGAGCTTGAGCAAGGAAGAGCCCACGACTCCGAGGAAGCGCATGAGGAGGAACGACGGCGGCGGCCCCTATCATGCCATCCAGGGGAGTCTAAGGGAGGATGATTGTGCGGCGCGAGAGGATGGCGGTGGGGAGCGAGAGGAGGCAAGAGCGAGATTGGTGGCGGACGGTCGAGATCGAAGGCAGAAATGAATCGGACGGACGAGAACCTCAGAGCTCTGAGAAGCCTCCGTGTCCCGCACCAATCAAGAATTGAGATGTGGCATTGCCCGCTTTTGCATTGAACGGGATCCTGCATCAGCCACGGCCCCAATTAAATCTGAGAATGGTTTCATACTTAAACCATACCCGTATACGTATTCTCAAAACCATACTTGAACTATAACCGTTTAATATCATTTTCAGCCCAACCAAAACTAAAACCACTATTTTTTTCCACCCAAACCAATTTAAACCCAATACATAACCATGGGTTTAAACCCAATAAATAACTATAGGTTTGACTCAATGTACATCTGATTACACAAGTTGACATGTTAAGAAGTAAATGAGATAGAACAGACATAAGTGCATCTACAACAGTTTGGGAACAAAGTTATCCTTGAGATACAGTCGCAGACAGCAAGAGGCAAAAGACAATGCCCACGACTGAAAAGCTCACTAATAAGTGTATTAAACCCAATTCCTTAGCCAAAGCACAAGCAGACATGTCTAATTTGCATGTGGTGTTTCCCCAAAACACAGAATTACAAAGTGCATCGCAGCGTGCACGCGGATCAAAACTACTCATTGTTGGTGCGTCGTTTGTTATTGCACATAACCAATGCCCGGAAACTGGTTTGAACCCATAGTTTATAGCCGCTAATAACCAAACTATTTAAACCCATAACCAACTATACCCAAACTAGTTTCTCCACATACCCAAACCAAAACCAAACTAAAAAAGACTCGGCCCAATAAAACCTGAACTAATCAAACCCAAAGTAAAAACCAAACCATTTCACCCGGGTTTTGAATAACCATTCCCAGGTTTAGCCCCAATAACCTGCTGGGTGATGCACAACAGAAAAGTGGGCTCTGTAATCACTGAACATCCATCAAGGAGCACGTCCTTCCCCGTCACGCGCACAGCTCATTGCAACTACATACGCAAACCAAATTTAAATGGCGTCGACCGGCAGCCACATAAATTGGACAGCAGCAGCAGCAGCAACCAATACCAGTCAGTAGATAGAACGCACGCACGACACTCCGTCGTCTCAGACAGTTAGAGCCAACTGTTACGTCGTCACTCTGGCCTTCATAAATCACGGGGCTCCCGTTTTAATCAAGAGCATCGAGTGCGCACTAACTCCAGCTTAATGCTAGTGCTCCAGCGGAAAAAAAAAAGAGAAAAGGCTCAGCATACTAGTGCAAGTAGCTCGCAGAGTAAATCTTCCGTAGTGTCCAAGAACACGCATACGAGTCCTCGATTCCCAGGGCCAGGAGTAGCAGGTGAGACAATATCACTGGTGCGTTTGATGTACCACTCCACACTGTGCGCTTACAGTATACTCCGGCACTGTGCCCAAGTCTACTGAGAAGACGCCAAATTGGACATCCAGTGCGCGCGGCATGATTCATGTCTTGAAACGGTACCGTCTAACGTCTGACCAGAATTTTGTCGTCCATAATCGAAGGGTCCAAAGCTACTCAAGTCTCAGCCCGTCCGACCGAATCAGCCTTTCCCAAACATAAATTGCAACTGCATCTCTCAGCTGAACCGTGAGCCAGCCGCAAGGGTTTTTGCCCGGTTTATGTACAATTATTATACTCAATTTTGCGATGATTTATACGATTATACCGAGAGGAAGATTCAGTAAATAACAGGAATTACTGACGACTATGGTCTCACGATCCAAGGGTATTGGAATTCAAGTACGATCTCACGACGCAAGGTGTTGGAATTTATTTATAGAACGCGTTTGCTTCGTTTCCACGGGGCCAGCTTTCCCGATTGGCCACACTCGACAGGAGCGTAAATCCACGCTCGCAAAAGGCGGACCCCGTCTCTTTCCTCTCGTGCGACATCTGTCTGGCCTCCTTCTCCTCCTCCTCCCCCCTACCTCCACACACAACGCAGACAACTCCTCAAATCTCACCACGGGACAACCAAACCACCACCTGCTCTGTTCCTCCAATCCGCTGCCCTGCCTTAGCCAAGCTCTGCCGTCGGCCATGAGACGACGCGCCGGTGGCGCTGGCACTCCTCCATTGCCAGACACGCTCTCGGTGTCGCTTCTGCTGCTGCTCCTGCTGGTGGCGACCGAGCTGGGCACCGCGGCCTGCGTCTGCGGAGTTTTTAAGGCGGACGCGGTAGCGGCGGCGACGGCTGCTGCAGCAGCGCGGAAGCGCGGCGGCACGGTGCTTCAGACAGGACCGCCGGCGGCGGCGTGCACCGGCGAGGCGGGAGGAGCGGCGTACGACGAGTCCAAGAGGATGGTACCCCAGGGCCCCAATCCGCTGCACAACTAGCCTGGCCTTCTCATCAGGCTCTGCCGGCTGCCGCGGCGAGCTAGCAGTACGTACTAGTACGTACGTGCCGAGGAGTGGACTGCATGCAGTACCACTGCGCCCTGCCTTTTTTGTTTATCATTTTCTCCTTGCCCTTGTGCCGAAGAGCACGCATAGCAATGCACACACGCTTTTCAGTGTTGTTGTTTAGGTATCAGTATCAGCTAGCTAGCCAGGTAGGGCAAATCGATCAAGGCCACGCGAGATTGTTGTACTAGTGCCAAGTGATCTTCTAAAATTAAATCTTTGTATGTTGACACCTATGGCTTGATTTTTGTTATGTTGTGCCACTGTGTGCATGCTTCCCGCGCTCTTCTTCGAGAGGAATTTGCTCGGTGTTTATTACTCCCTCTGCCTCAAAATATAAGACGTTTTTTGGGGCCTAGACTTAGGTAAAATAACGTCTTATATCTTGATTTTGATACAGAGGGAGTATATCTTAGGGCAGCAAAGTGTTCTTTGTAACATGCTGTGTGAAGCATCACTGTGAAGAAGCCACTAGAGCGAGCTGGTTTAGAAGACGAGCAACAAAGTTGGTAGGGGCAGCAAAGCATTACTGAATTTCAATAGGTAGAATTAAAGACGGGACAGGCAATGCGCGGATCACGGCTCGCAGGAGAAGGTCCAGTGCACTGCATGCACACCTTTTGCAGCTTCAATTCCCTCAGAGAGAAGAAGGTGAGTAGGGCCTCTCGGTTTATCTTGCGGTGAGGTTGACGAATTTACCGTCGCGAGCTAGGGCCAACGCAAATGTTATATGGGTTACGCTCACGGCTCTGAAAATGTCAGGGGAGCATTTGGTTCTGAATTCTGATACATCACTGTTTGAGGACCACAGGGAAAGATGCCTCTGCAAGACTTTGAGTCCCTTTTCTTGCAAAGTTAATACTACTTCAGTTAATCCCACAAAAAAAATGACTGCAGCCAGTCAATGTGAGGATCAGGAAAGTGCAATAAAAAGTCAAAAGCAGAGTCAAATAGGTGTAGTTATATTGCTACTGTAACCAGGCAGCCAAAAGCAGACTGTTTTGGAAAGGCGTCATAAACAGTATACTATTATTTCCAGTACTAAGAAGACACTTAATGCAGGAATTGCAGATATCTACAGTTTAAATTCACGAGTAGTGCTAGTACTTCTAACATGATTGATGAAGCCAAACTGACTTTCAGCTCAAAAGGAACAGATAAAAATCCAAAGTGACTGAGTTTTTTGGTTCGAGGAAAAATTGACTGAGTTTCGTATTGTATTTGCATGAGATGGTGATTCAAGCCTCAAGGCTTGACGAGAATCCTTGTTCTTACGAATCTGCTCAATGCGATTGTTTCCAGCCACCGAAGTCTTCGGGGAGACCGCGCTGGCGAGTATCCTGCATACAGAATAAAAGTGTTGCTCAAGGCCAAATATGCATTAGTTTTGCCATTTTGCCGGTTCTCAAGTAAATATCAGCCTGCTCAAGTTTCTCGGAGCAAAACACGAGCTGATACTAAATTATACTCGCTCCGCTCCAAAATAAGTGTTGTGGGTTTTAGTTTGACACTTATTTTGAAACGGATGGAGTACTTAATCATCGTTCTGTTTGTATGTTGTAGTGATTCACCCAAATAAGTTTTATTCGTCTGGTCTTTGACTTTATTAACATTTTGGACAGTATTGTTTTCTATTTCATAGTCATCTGACAGAATTCGATTGAAGACTAAGATAAAGACAATGGGTGTTTAACATAAATATCTGCCTGCAGACTGATTCAGAAAGATTGACGACAAATATGGCTACAAAGAGTTACTACAAACAAAGCTGAAAAATAATCGTAAAGGGGTAGCATAATAATATTGTTTGTTCGGGAGGTACAACTAATGTTCAGATAGTTCCTCGGTAGCTTAATTCACCAAATACGTTTCAAGGGGAATCACTGATTATAGTAAATCCCAACACTGGCATGTACGATTGCATCTGAAATTGAAATGAACTATATGTTTTCCAATTATCGTCAAAATCTGCATAAACTACGGTATCTTGATGATGATGATGACATGACCTCATTTCTAAGTGACGCCATCGGTACTTATGCAGCTATGCTGTGGTCAGTAACGAGGTAGACCAACAAGGTAGGATCTTAAAAGTGTCTGCATCAATTCATGAAGTCCAGGACCTAAGAACCTACTGACTACTGTTTGAAAGAGATGCTTATACAGGTTATGAACTAGACCTATAATGTAGGAAGATATCATTATCTGCATCAATTGGATCATGGATACCAGAGCCTAAGTACCTACTCTTCGAAAGAGTTAAGAGATGCTTGTACAAGTCCTGGTACCTCCTGGTACCCAACTAGACATTGGGTGGTACCACCCGCTGACTAGCCATCAGAAACACTAGGAACCTTAGTGGTTTGAGGTTATGAACACACCAGATAGAGGAAGGGGGTGAATTTATTTTCTCTTGCAAACATTAACAACAGACAGTCTGGGGAGTTCAGACCAGATTCAAGAATTCAGTTAAAATTAAAAATATGGAAGTACTACCTCTGTCCCATAATATAAGAGCGATTTTGACACTACACTAGTGTCAAAAACGCTCTTATATTATGGGACGGAGGGAGTAGCATTTTAGGATCTACCTCGGGAGTGAATGTGAGACCGACTTTGATTTCTCCACAGTAGTGTTCACCTTTCACAACATTATAAACTGTTGGTGGAATGCTCCCTTCGGTATAAACTGCTTCCAAAGGAATCCTGCAAGAACCAGTTGAATTGGGGCATTGTATTTTTTTTAAGGTCCATACCATCACTGCAATTCCCAGGATAGCATAAAGACACGGGCCACAAGTAAGAGCAGTAACTTCATGACAGATGTACTCTGAAAAGATTCCGGATAACTTAATGTACCGATAGTAATTGTTGAACTTCATATATGGATGGGAAGATATGCATACGTTGCTTCACCAACAAAGTCGTCCGATGTGCCCGAGTCGCTGTCCATAAGCTTGATCACCAGCTCCGTAGCATGGTCTGACACGGTGAAGACAAAGCTTTCGTTCCATTCAGGGTTACTACCTTTGCCTGCATAGACATTTTGAAATTTAGCATCACATAACGTTCAGGGAACTGATATCTGCAGTTGAAACGAACGACATGAGGCAATAGCAACAACTTTCCGTCCTTTAGACAAGGAACAGCTGATCGTTTAAAATGTTAGGGCAACTAAGAGTTATGCACTTCTTAGTTCTCTTTTGTTTCCTTCTGAACTATCAGTCCATTTTTTTTGGGTAAAGGGTGTATTTTGTTAACTCATAATGCCGCATCAAGAGAATACAAAGCATCATGAGCTCACATCCGGCCTCTGCATGACTAGGATGAACACCAACACACACACACAAAAAAGAAAAAAAAAGTGACCTCCAAGAAGTGAACTATAACATGCAGCAGTAACCATCAGCATCAACCACCATCGATGAGAGCACCCAGATGGTTTTCGAGTCGATGAGTCGTTCTGGGATAGCGACTCGGAAAAAGTCGAGCCTGCAGTTGTGACTAGTCACGATTCGAATCATGACTCGACACTAAGTTGAGTCGACATTTTTTTGCGACTCATCAACTAGTCGCGCGACTCGAAAACCATGGCACACGGACATGGGGAAAGTGCTTCAACAACAACACCTTTAAGAAGGGAACGACACGCAAGCGCCAACATCGCCAGATCCACCCACGAAGGGTTAATCTTGGGTTTTCACCCCAAAGAGGAAGTCCGAGCAAACTCCAAAGAATGCCTTCAACTGGGGAATGGTGTAAGAACACCACCATTGCTAGGTAGAGCCAGTCCAAGCCAGACCTAGAGTTTTCACTTCGGAGCTCAAATTCTTGTGCTCAAAAGCACCACCAAACTTATGTCATCATGTACTGCCGCCGCCACCTTTTTTTGAACAATCAACGGGGGGCGATCGCCCACCTGAACCTTGTATTAAAAGTAATAATGAAGCATTCATACATCACACAACACTCCGCAGAGGGAGGGGTGCATCAGC